TACTATATATATATTCTTTATTTCTTCTATATAACCCTAATACCCTATGATGTGCATGTACCAAAAAAAAGTAATTGCAATAATATCTACGTATAATAACTTTGCACTCAATTCAGCCTAACAATCAACAAAGTAAATTTAAAATTATAAAAGTTTAGTGCTAGATTTTAATAGAGATTTCTTCGCATTAGTCCAAGTCTTAATAAATGTAATTATCTAGTACATATTCATTAAAAATAACATATTTTTATACAATTATCTTGAAAAAGCTTGAAAACTGATCCGAATATCATATTTATAAGTGCATCATGTAAGTTCCTTCTAAGAACTCATGAAATGAAAATTGCATTACTCATTCATTTATTATTATTAATTAATGTATAACTTATCTTCTAATCAGACGATCGATAGTTTATCCGATTATATTGCCAAACTCAGAAGTGGCCTTCACGCCCTTTAGTATGCGCGTCTAATGTAAGAGAAAAATATAGTAACATTAAAATAAAAGATAATATAATAGTACAAAAACCAAAAAGTTTCCAATAATATTAATAACAAAATAATTGACCAACAAGTTCCAAGTCCTTCTTCTTCCCTCCTATATGTCGTAATCGTTTTAAAATTTGACTAATTTAAATTTATGTTAGAATATTTATTTTTAAAAAAATATAATACTTCTTATTAGAGATGATTATGATTTGAAATTTCTAATTAAGAATAATGAATTACGTAATATTTATCACAATTTTCGACAGTCAAGTTATCTTTTGTTACAAATATATAATTCACAGAAAATCAACATCTAAGGGTTTGTTCGTGCGATCAATAAAGTATTGAGAGTCATGAAATATATAATTCAAATCTATTCTTTAAATTAATCGAGATACATGAAAGTTGATCTGAACGAAGCGATCATCAAAATTAAAAAAAAAATAAAAATCCCAATGCTTACTTTTCTACTTCTCTACTTTTCCACTCTATATTGTCTTGGTCAAGCCTTGCTGGAAAAATGATGTTTTTTTTTTATTTCTACGTTGCATGAGTCAATTTTAAATCTATTGTAATGTAATTTTATTTTTATTTTTATTTTTTTGGTTGGTAAATATTTAATACAGTAGCCAGAGTAGACCAACTTTTTTTTCTTTCCAAATTTCAACATTTTGAATATTTTTTTCAATGATTTAATAGTTCACGAATATAATAATTTCAATTCCAATTTGGAGACAAAATTGTGATACTATTATAATGTCAAGCAAAACAAAAAAAGAACATTAATATATTATATTTTTCTAAGACAAAGTTGTAATATTAGACATTTAAATTTTCCAAGTTTCAACTGCCCATTAAAATAATTTCCATTAACTAATGTTAAATCAATTGATCATTTTTCTTTCCTATTAACATATTATATATGTAAAACATGATTAAAAAATGGTATGTTGACTCAATTGACCTAGCAAACAATAATAGAGAAGCTCATTTATTTGACTACCATTTCAAACAATTAGATTCATTTGACTAGGTGAAATTTAGAGGGTCATGCTTCTTTAGATATTTTTTTTCTATTCGATGTTTAATATTTGTATTAATATTTTTATCAATCTGTATTATGTATGATCTATAAAAGGAGGTGTTCATTATCACGTATAATAAGAAAATGTCATGCATAATATTAACAAAACTTTCTATTTATATTTCACTTTCTGACATCTCAGATATATTTAAATTCATTAGTCTGATTAACTAATTCGAATCAAGTAGTAGATCGCTTCAGAGGAGTAGTTATAAACGGGATTCTCTACTAACAAATATACTATTTTTAAGGGCTTGATCTCTAGAACTTCAAGTAAGGTGAAGGGAGTTTAATCATTTTTATTATCAGAGATGGAATAATAATTTATTGTTTTAAGAATTTCTGCAACGATTTAAATTGATATATAATAATAACTGAATTTACAGTTACACATTTATATACTTAAAGAAAATTTAATAAATTATATATAGAATATCTTGATAAAAACTACTAAATTTGCATGAATCGATGTGTAATATTATACATCCTTTGATTGATATTGTTTGTTACCTAACTTTAATTAATTTTGTAGACTTGAATTGGATGTGCAATTCTTATTTTTTGTGTTTAATATATAGTAGGCAACATGGTCCCTCTATGACAACAAATACTCAAGTAGGGACCAAATTAGGGTGCATAAATTTTGAATTGAATTGCATACCGACAATTATAAGGTTTGGTAAGAAAAATTTTAATTGAAAGAACTTATAATTTCCAAAAAAAAAAAGAGGCTAAAAATGGTGAGATTTTCTATTCAAAATCAATCGAAGGCTAAAAATATTTGGGGAATTTATATAAATTTCATTAGTTTAAAAGCTAATTATTAAGATATACTTTAGTTTGCGATATTACGTATCTTATCATCAGATTTTAGTGTCTCCAAATACGTCTAGATACATATATCTCATATACATGAGGTCAAACTTAAGTGTAATTTGTTCTAGATATATTGTATTCAAGTGGATTCGCATGTATTTGAGATACACTGCAAATCTCGTTTGCCTCCCTTGCCTCTCTCATATCTCGCTTGCTACTCTCCTATGTATCTGGTATCACAGGGCATCCATAAAAAGCATACGATCGTTATTGTGCTGTTAGTATAGGCTAGAGGATCCACCAGTGAAAAGCTCATATTTGAGCCAAAATGATATTGGTGCACCCGCAGTCTTCAAATTTTTGGTTCACCACTGATCATAGATACATATGAACCTTTCCAGATACATATAAATACGTATATCTAGTATATTCACATATACTTGAGATACATACGAATCTCACCCTCCTCTAACCCTATTTTTGTGTATATTGTCTTCAATATACGATAGAAAGTTCTTAGTTAGTGATCAAATATGTAATATTTTGAAAGTATAGGCAATAATAGTTTACAAAGAGAAGTATGTCTAATTATGTAGTTTTACCAAAATATTTTAGATAATTTATTTCTATCCGTAAGTCGTGGTGAGCAGATCATGATATATATATTGGTATGAGATAACAGATACACAGTGAAATAATTGAAGGTTGCGTAAAACCTAGTGAACAATAAAATAAGAATAAAATCATAAAATCTTATGTTTGAATTTTAGTGAAGTTAAAAAAAAGGGCAACTTTCACATATAGCAAATAAAAAATTCATATTTGTATGTTGTAGCAAAGTTTGCATAATTGCGCTCCATAGCAAACATAGAAACTGTATAATTCGTTATACATATACAGTTGAAGCAAATTGTATAAAACGAAGTGTATAAAACATGAAAGAGAAAGACACTTGGGCAGAGAACTCTATAAAAATAAAGTGTATAATGTATTATTATAAGTGTATAGAACGATTATATACAATTTGAATTTGTATAAAATGAGAAAGAGAGAAAGACAAAAGAGACTTGACAAAAAATATACGATTGAATCAAATTGTTAAAACGAGAAAGAGAGAAATTAGATACAATTTAAAAATTGTATAAAACGAGAAAGAGAGAAAGGCAAAAGAAACTATGCAGAGGAGTATTTTTATTGTATAATTACAAGTGTATAGGACGAAAATATATATAATTGCATGTGTATATATAATTTTCTCACGATTTATACAAACAGAAACGCAATTTATACATTTCGCTTCTGTTTGTATAAGTGACAAAGACGAGGGTGACGAGTGAGATTTGGGAGAGTGGTGAGCGAGATCTCAAAGAGGGGAGAGAGGGGAACAAAAGTATATGTATTTATATAATTTTCTCTGCTTTATACAATTAGAAATAATTTTTATACACTTGTGTTTGTATAAAAAGTGAGGAAGCGAGAGAGATTTGAGGAGAGTGGCGAGCGAGATATTTGGAAGAGAGGTGTCTGGAAATTTTTTGCAAACGTTTGCTATGGAGCACAATTAAATAAAACCTTAGTTACTCTATTAATTTTAGGTTATTAATTTGCTATTATATACAATTTTTCCTAAAAAAAATATGAGATGTTTTCTTTCTATTGTTTAAGTCTTATACAATATTTATGCTCAATGAAATAATCGAGGTATAAAAAATAAATATGTCTTCAAAGGAGGACTTAGGTGAATCACATGTAAATTTATCCACAAACTACACATACATAAATTATACTCTAATAAATACTGATGTCATAGCAAATATTATATCTGTAAAATATGTAGCAACAGAATAATCCGTCTCTGTTTAAGCTGTTACCTTAATTAAATGAATTATTTTAAGTCTGTATATAACTTAATCGTACTGTCATATTTTTGGGATTTGATGTCCTGTTGTCAAAAAACTAAAGTGTATATGCCCTTCACTTTAACGGAAGATTAAAAAGAGACACGTAAAGCAATCTTATCATCGATTTGATGTTGAGTCGGAATAAGTTTATGACACCTGTATGTCCATTAGTATAAAGGGTATATATGCTCTAATTTTTGGACGACATGGGAGACCAACATCCCTAAAGTATGACGAAGGATATCGGCATAACATTTATGATAGTTCAGAGATATATTTGCCCTTTTTCCCTTTTATGTTTTATCTCAACAATATCTACAACATTGTGTCAAAGGAATTGAACATATTAATATAAAAAAAAAAATTACTTATAATTTAGTGATAGAAAATTATATACATAAGTTATGCAAACATTAGTCAAGCACTTTATTTGATATTTTAATAATATATAATTAATTCATGATATTAATAATGTAAAGAGTTTTAATAAAAATATAATTGTCTATCAACAATTCCTTCCATTATATTTCATGGGTAATATTTTTGTAGTTTTTTTCTTCTAAAATTAAACACTACATATTATTTTAATAAACTAAACCAAACATAAAAAAAAATAAAAATCAATATATCTCTATACCATTATAAATAATTTAAATACACAATTTCTGTAGTTCGAATTCAAAATACCCTTTCCATTATACTTTGTAAAAAATTTACCTTCAAATTTAATAAATTTACCCCACCCATTAGATCGACCCGACCCGACCCGACCATTTTGTTTTGTCCATATTGCAATTGACCCAAATAAATTTCACTGCAGATCTTCTTCTCCATATGATTATTTGCTCTCTCAGGTCAGTTTTTTTTTTCTTTTTCAAAATGAACAATAATTTTCTATCTCCATTGTATATGATTTGATTGAAAGTAGCTGATAGATGATAAATGTTGATTATTTTTTTTAATTACTGTTTGGATTAAGCTAATTGAGAGTAGTTGATAATTTAATAACGGATGAAAGTTTGTTGAAATTGAATTTTTTTTTTTTATGAAAGCACGAAAAAGTTTAGCTGTAAATGATATTGAATTGACCACGAAAAGCGGAAGAAGAGAAAGTTTTGTTTAATTTGCTTGTGATTCTGTATTGGATTTGTGGATCTATTTTGTTGTATATGAAGATGGTGAAACGCAATCCATTGCTTTTATGAATTACTAGTTCAAAGCTATGGTGTGATTTAGTTTGATTATTTAGAAGATGTTGTTGTGTGCTAATTTGGGGAAAAAAATTTCTTGTCCAAAGACTAGAGAGACAAGTATAGTAAGAAGTTGGTAAAAGGGGAAAAAAAAAGATATAATGCTAGTAGGAAGAAAGTTGCAGGTTTCTAGTCCTTATGAGCAATACTCGTTTTTTGCCTTAACTAATAGAGTACATTGATAGAGTTCAACTAGGCTGCTTTCGATGTATGCTATTCGCCTGCTTAGAAGAATCCCTTTGTTTGAGTCGAGGTGATAGATTTTCCATGCTTGGTTGATTTTAGAAGATGAAGTGGGCAACTCATTATTCTTATAAATGAGAGATCTCGGTTTGGAAACAAATAACGGATTTATAAGTTTAGGTTTTAGGAAATATAGCTTATTGAGTTCTGATGCGATTATAGATATAGTTGTTTTGGCCAAAGCTATTGGGAAACCGTAATTGATATTCTAGTTGTGCCTCTACTCGGAAATTTATAAGTTATATCATCTTTCGTTTAAGTTCTTTTTAGAAATCCTTTTTCTCCTTTTGATGATTTAGTTAATTTGAGATAAAGCTTAGGAGAAGTCTTTGTTTTTGCAAATTTCGGTATTTGGTGTTTTGTGTTATTTAAGATGAGGGTCCTTTGGATATAACTCCTCTATTTACACGAGGTAGAGGTAAAGTTTTTGTAAAGACCTCACTTGTAGGAATACGTTGGGTATTTAATTTGAGATAAAGTTTAGGAGAAGTCTTTGTTTTTGCAAATTTCGGTATTTGGTGTTATGCATTATTTAAGATGAGGGTCCTTTGGAGATAACTCCTCTATTTACACGAGGTAGAGGTAAGGTTTGTGTATACTCTATCCTTCCCAGACCTCACTTGTGGGAATGCGTTGGGTATGTTGTTGTTAATTTTGGTATTGACATTTTACTTATATTGGATTTGGTCTTATGGAAACTTATTGTTTTTTTTTCAAGAAAATCTAAAATGATTGTGCTGGAAAATTGGTTAGTGTTTGAAGGGCAATGATGCAGAGCGAAAACTCTGTTGAAGATTCGCTTCATATCCGCAAGCTGGAGGTTACTGATAAAGAAAAAGGCTTTATTGAATTGCTGAGACAATTGACTGTCTGTGATTCTGTTTCGGACGAGAGATTTAAGGAGAGATTTGAAGAAATCGCGAAATATGGGGATGATCATTGTATTTGTGTGATCGAAGATGTTCGATTAGGGAAGATTGTTGCTACTGGAAGTGTGTTTATTGAGAAGAAGTTTGTGAGGAATTGTGGTAAAGCTGGACATATTGAGGATGTTGTGGTCGATTCGAGTGCTCGTGGGATGCAATTAGGTAAGAGAATTGTTGAATATCTTGCTCATCATGCTCATTCAATGGGGTGTTATAAGGTAATCCTTGATTGCACTGAAGAGAATAGACCTTTTTATGAGAAATGTGGTTTTAAGAAGAAAGAAATTCAGATGGTTAAGTATTTTGTTTGATGAATAATTTTGTTCCTAGAAATACTGAGTTTATCATAAGATAAGTTTGATCGCGTAATCTTCTGTTTTCTTGTATGCCCTGTGGCTTTGTTTTGAGCACTCGTGGGATCGGGGGAACATAGCACAATTCTTCTTAGAGGAGGGTTATTTGCCTGAGTGAACGTTAACGTGAAAGTATTTGTTTTTGACCAGCATGAATCCACCATAGTGCATTTTCGAAGTTATGAGTAATAGTAGTGATCTTTGTGGATTGTGTAACATATATACCTATGCTCTTGCTTAAAGTATTGAGTTCAGATAAACTCGATTACGATACTATGCATCATAATGTCAGAGACACTGTTAGACAAAAGAAGTGATGGAAAACAATCCCAGCACGCAAATGGTGGAACGTATAAGAAGAAAGAAATCTGGGGCGAAACGCTAGCTAAATCGAACACATAGCCAAACCAAATATTTTTCTTGCTATGTTTTTAAAAGCACAAAAATAACTGATAATTTAGATAATAATTTCTAAATTTCTCATAAAACAAATCGGTTTCTTTATTAATACAAAATATCCAACATAAACAACTGTGTTTCCTTTTATCCTGAGAAATCCATTTGGAGCCAAAAACTCGGGGATGATGGGTCCGCTCCTCTACACTTCTCCATCGGAACACTAGGTTTAGTTCTCTCGGCGTAGAGCTTAGGTAAAAAATGCAATGCGTTTCAAGGTCATTCTTTCTTTCTGGATAGTCCACCAAACCTAGAAGATGGACTGGAATCAACCTAATGCGGAGGATTGATCAACCTCTACATCACAGAGGATCAATGAATCGTCAAAAATGTTTACTTTCATTGCTCCTCTTCCTTGGAGTAACGGTAAAGTTATCTTCGTATGACCTACAGGTCACAAGTCAATCAACCACCCATTGGTCTTATCGAGCTGATGAAAGATAAATATTAGGTCTATCTATTCTTGCATAAGGGAATGGCACCAATTGGCCTCAATTCTCTTCTGCAACATCATATTACCAACTGAAGTCTTACCAGTAATCGCCACAAGAGCATGAACCTTCAAGGAAACAATGGAAACGGTTATTATCTCGTAAGATAATTTCTCTCCCCGTTATCATTGAGACAAGCTTGAAGAACGTATGGCAATCACCACAGATACGAAGATTCTTTATTATCCTGATACCATCACCAGGTTTCGTACTTAGTAAGCCATATGCAAGCGCGAGCTTCTCACTATGACACCCCACGAAATGCTCCTTCTCCTCCTCTTCGATGTCAAATAGAACGTATTCTGTTCTTGGAACATAACCTACCTCTCTTAGCTCCTTGCTCAGTTCACCGAGTTTGACGTATATGTTATCTGATATTGGATGGTATGTATCTCCAACAAGAAACTCATGAACTATTCCATCAATCTCTATCCAACTATATGCAGGTATCTTCTGCATTCTTCTTTCGTTCATAGACGACCTGATCTTTTCTGAATCGTCCCATTTATTGTTAGATGCATATATATTTGATAAATGAACATAGTTACCAGAGTTCCATGGTTCCAGTTCAATCAACTGCTTTAGCACATGTTCAGCCAGCTTGGTATCGCGATGTAACCTGCAGCCACTTAACAGAGCTCCCCAAACGACAGCATTAGCCTTCATTGGCATACTCTCGATCAACGAGTGAGCTTCATCCAGCAAGCCAGCTCGACCTAGAAGATCAACCATACATCCATAATGTTCAATTGATGGTTCCAAAGAGTATAAGTGAGTCATGCTCTGGAAATATTTACGACCTTCGTCAACAAGGCCAGCATGAGTGCAAGCACAAAGGAGACCGATGAATGTGTTTCCGTTAGGTTTTATACCAAGTTTCTCTACTTGACTAAAACAACAAAAGGCAGATTTTACGTACCCGTGCATAGCAAGACCAGATAAAACAGCATTCCAGATTACTCTATCCTTCTTCACCAACATTTGTTTGAAGATTTCCCAAGCTGATACCATCCGTCCACATTTAGCATACATATCGATAAGTGCTGTACCTAAAACAGCATTAGACAAAAACTCATTCATGTCCATCAACTTACTAGCCCATTCGCCAACTTCTAACGCTCCTAACCTTGAACAAGCTGAAAGCACACCAACCATTGAATAGCAATCCGGTCTAACATTCTCTCGTTGCATCGTGTAAAACACCTCCAACGCCTCTTTAGGTAGCCCATTGACCGCGTAACCCTGTATCATAGCACTCCAAGACACAACATCCTTCTCTACCATCTCATCAAAAACCTCACGAGCTTTCGCCATTTCCCCACATTTAGCATACATATCAACCAAACCAGTATTAACAAACACATTCCTCCCTATACCCATCTCCACCGCGTACCCATGTATCCACTCACCAGCACTAACATCCCCTACCCGACTACACGCAGACAAAACCCTAACAAGAGTAAAACTATCCGGACTCAAACCCATCTCCAACGACCTCCGAAACAAATCAATAGCCTCCTTAAACTTCCCAAAATCAATATACCCCGTAATTATCGCAGTCCAAGATACAACATTCTTCTCAGGAATATCATCAAACATCTGGTGTGCATCATCAAGAAACCCACACCTAGCATAAAAACAAACCAACCCAGTCTTCACAAACACATCATAATCAAACCCCCCTTTAACAACAAGCCCATGAGCCTTAACACCCAATTCAAAATCTGATAACCTCGTGCAAGATTTCAACAAGAATGGAAAAGTAAAATTGTTAGGCAAGAAACCTTCATTTCTCATACCATGGAAAAATTCAATTGATTGGTGAAAACAATTATTCGAAACCAACCCACGAATCATAGTATTGTAAAGAAAAATGTTGGGTTCTTGAGCTTGATTGAATACAAGCTTAGCATAATTTGGATTGTTGAAATTGTTCAAAGTAAATTTTAATAATAAGTTCAAAAGATAGTTGTTTTGATCAAAACCTGCACGAATAAGGCGAGCATGAATGTGTTTAAGTTGATTGAATGATTGGAAGCCATTGAAGAGAGCTGTTTTTAGCTCAATTAGAGCTTTGGGAGCAGCAGCTGAGAATGTTGTATTCATGGCTTAAACAACCATAAAATTGAGATCCAACTCTAATTATTTGTACCCGTACTACTGTATATAACTAAAATTCATGTTGTACAAAATAGTAAATGTGAAAATAATGTATTTTAATTTCCTAATTGAACATTTTTCTAGCTAATATAACAACCACAGGTTAATAATAACTTGTAGTAGGATTTTTGAAAATCTATTAAATTACATTTACATATGATTCTGCATCGGACGGGCATAAGTTGTGCAATTTTTTCCTAGAGAAATTACTATACAAAGATGAGCAGGAGGAGATGACAACAACAACTACTATGCCTTAGTCCCAAACACGAACCAAGAGGACGAAAAGATCAAAAACAAATAAATAACTAGATCCAACATCTACCTACATTACAACAGGTGTGTACTGGAGGGGTTTGCAAAGAAATGTTCCCTTGAAACTAACTTTGGTTTCTTGAAATGGCTACCAATAAGACTACTCAGAATTGTTGGTGCTCCGCTTGGATTTGCCTGAGGAATCTTACGCGAAAAGATAACGTTATCCAGGACCATCATGTTTAACAAACTTCTGCAACTCTGAAAGACACAACAAGAATTGTTTTAGCAGATGAGAAGATGTAAAAGTGTCTTGTCTATCTCATGCCCATAAAACATTACTACTACACAACAACATAACTTAGTGTAATTCGATAAGTGAAGTCTGGTGTAGGTAAAGTGTAAACATACGTTACCTCTACCTCGTTGAGGTAGAGATGCATAACACATTACAAGCAAAAGGATTTGAATAATTGTTGAAACTTTAAGATCTCCATTAGGTGCCAGCAAATCTCTGCCTCAAGAGATACGGAGTCAGGATTTCAACTTTATGGGTTCTGGGATTTTAGAACAATGACTCCAGAAGTGTTGATAACTAGATTCTAAATTTAATGTGTACATATTTAATAAATTTCTCAACACAACTACATTATTCAAGGAAAAGCTATTGGTTTCGACCCGTAGCTGAGCTTCTAACTCCACCCCTAGCCTAGGATGCAAACTATCTCACTAACTAGAAATATCCCGGTATGTAGAAACTACAAGTATGGTAAGGAGATGAACTTTGTTTATAGAAGGCACATCAGGAGTTCCAAATGCGCACTCGGAAGGATAAATCTGGCTAGAGGAAGTCACAGATTGGTTTAATAGAAAACATGATAATTTTGAGCAGCTCATAATTTATGGAAAGAGAGCCTTGGGAGAAGAGATCATTGGAATTTTATTATTTCTTGGGCAAGAACAATGATACTGCTTCATGTTACATTTTATCTGATAATCAACAGACTGAAGAAACAAGTCCGAGGAAACAGAAATAACATACCTGAGGATTCAGAACATGCATGTGGCAGATAATATCACCCTGAACAATAATTAAGAAGTCAGTTTGAAACTAATAATATAAGTTAAAAGTATCTGTTTATATATATATATATATATATATATTGCTACGAGGACGGATTATACATAAAACAGTCAAGCTGAAAATATGCAGTGTTCATCAATGATCAAGATGAAGAAAAAGAATGACCCTATGATTCAATCATCAATGATTGAGTTCCAGTATTCATTAGGAAATGAATCCATATGACATGAAGCATAACAAATTTATATGAAGTGGTGTTCCCAAGAACAGTACAAAATCTGTGAGAACATTGAAAAAGATAGAGAAGCAAATGAACCTAGCACTAAAGACTAAGAGAAATGAAAAAAAAAAAGATACTGTATTGACAACGAGAGCTAGAAAAAAATTAAGAAGAAATTAACTGATTTATTCTACAACCAACAAGGATCAATTGTCCCAAATATTTTGAAGCAATTCATTATGCACAAAATTAGAAAGTAATACTTCAAAATTGCACAGATTCACTGGTCATGATCAAGTATATATGTTTTTACGCAAGTAAAAGACGTACCTCTTTTATTCCCGGATTTTGCATCACTATGCCAAGAACACGGCGTACAAGCCCCTTGTAGACACGTTCATTTGTAGTACCATCACCATTTAGCCAAGGCAATATTGGCTTACACAAATGCAAACCAGTAGAGCGGAGATCATATGGTTCTTCTGGGTGATTTTTTGTGGGTGAACTAGCTTCAGTAGGCCGACAACCTTTTGCCTCATTGATGGTTTGCTTTTCCCTTGAAGGTTCAACAACCGCTTTAGGAAGATTAAGAATCGTGACTTTGTGTACCTTATCAGAATTCCCACGTATTTCCTTCTGCAACTCCACATCTTTATGATTTTCTCCATTATGTGTAGCAGACTCCTCATCTGTTTTAGCCTTGGAATCTTCACAAGGAGATGACGTAGCATCTTCATGAATAGCAGCCACTGGAATCAAAAAGTACTTGGAACGATATAAAGAATCAACCACCCGAATAGAATCGTAAGCATTGACCTGCATTTTGTGTGGCCACTAGATGATTAGTTAAATAGAAGATGGGCCTTCTACTGCACTCTGTTCCATTCTCTATTAATTACATCACTAGCTATAGTGCCATCTTTCCTTACTCAAACCACATGTAAAACAAACAAACTACAACAAGCTTAATACATAATGTCACGGGTCTCTTATTGAGTTATAGTGGTTACCTCCACACAATATTGCCGAAGCTACGATTAAGCATGTAAATCAATTTTATTCATAGAACAAGTGGATCAATGATATATTAATCCACAACACTAAACATACTAACACTTAACTGAGAAGAACGCCAACACACCAAACTTAAACTCATGAGCAATCTACAAATAATACAAGAATTTTGAAGTACATGTTCATGACAACTATGCCAATTTGGGTGCCTAGTTACATGATTCATTTTTTAACCCACAAAAGTTTCCATATCACTGAACCAACTCAAGACATCAGGGAACTCTCATCAAAGCATTTTGGCCTCTTAACTCATATTTTCTTCTCTTTCCAACCCGTCTTTATTGTACATCATGCTTTAACAAAAAATCAGGAGATGTATGGTAGATTCTTTATATAAACAACAATTTTCTTAATACTCCCTCTATCCCATTTTATTTGACACCCTTTGACTTGGCACGGTGTTTAAGAAAAAAAGAAAGACTTTTGAAACTTGTGGTTTAAAACAATCCTTACATATTTGTGTAGCTGAGTTTCATTTCATTGAGTGTAAAAGAGGAATTTAAAAGTTAAAATTATTTATAATTATAGTAAGGTGACATTTTTTTTGGGACAGACCACAAAGGAAAGGGTGCCACATGACACTTTAAACCAGCATATTCATGTTAAAACATACCAAATATGCCATTATTCTAATTACAATACAATTTGGGGGCTATGGGGAATTTCAAAGTAATATCCATCTGTTTTCAGGAGCAATCAGTCAGTGTCATATGAAGTAAATTCTCAAGATTCAACGCACAAGTGACAAGACAAACACTCTACACAGAAAAGTAAAACACACAATGAAGAGACATAGAGGAGTTTCAGGCAAAACTAGTTTACACTCAATACAAGTGAATCCACATGACCATACCATTACAAGTATCCGTTTTAAAAGCAAATGAACCAACAGCTTCTATTTCTTCTACAAGAAAGACTCTTTTTAAAACAATCCATTTACTAATATTTCCTATTCAGTAAATGAGTGAGAAGTCTTATTTCACAAAAATAACATCAGATAAACTATAACTGAGGATTTCATCAGAATTCTTTCATAACTCTATGCAGGTGCATGAAACTTCATCAACAACAAGGGAAGATAGCTAATTGTTAATTCAGACGCACCTTCACAACTCGTCCAAATGCTTCTAGCACCTCAATGACAGCTTCAGAAAGCTTTTTATCTGTAAAAAAAAAAATAGAAGCAATGAGTATTTAAATGGCGGGGTTAGAAGACCTTGTAGGTTTGTGGTTAGATACCTTGCATCTTTAGAATCCTTGAGATATCTTTCATGCACAAACCTTGGTCACCAGCCACTTGGATAGCTGAATAAACAGATCTAAACATTTCCGGATATACCAGAGAGTTCTGTTCCACACAAGAACCAAAGAAACAAACACGTTGAGCATAGGTCGTCATGGCTTGCCATGGTGACTCGGTCGGAGAAACTGCGGTATATGGGACCCCACTATCATGAAGTTCATTTACTTGGTCATCTGAGTCGAATGAGACACTGCCAATATCAGTGGCTTGATGATCTTTAACAGATTGTGCACAAGTATAGTTATCACTGTCTTTGAGTAAATCCATAATTTTTATTCTTGGAAGTGTAGCATGCCTCAAGCACAACCTAATTCCTGGGAAACCTTTTGCCCGGCGTGAGCAAAGCTCACTATCACTGGCCATTGAAGTTTTCAGCTTTTTATACCTGTCACTGTCAGAAAATTCACTGTCATCATTCTTGCGTTTAGATGTCCGGGAGTCCTCAACCTCTCCAACACCTTCATCGGGTAGGCATGGTGCAATAGATAGTTCTCCTGAAGAAAGCAGAGCAAGAAGGTGGTAAACATCTCCACACTGCAAATCTGTTGGAAGATCCACCCCCTCAGCAATCAATTCCTTCTCTCTTTCACAAAGCCAGCTAGCAAACTTAGCAGCTCTTTTTCCGGTATCACTTGGGAATGGAGAAAATTCTATACAATTCAAGAAGGTTTGAGAAAGGACAAAAGGACAATTGGAATGACCACCAATCTGCAAGGAGAAATTTTTAAAGCTTAGGAAATATTTGCAGGAGAAAACAACAGATGAAGACAAATCTTTTTCTAATTATAGGTCAAGACATAGGATGGGTCTTTGTAGCAACAGTTGCACCTACTGAAGAAAATGATAGTGAATTTCATTTAGTTTACGTTTATAGTCTTGATGAAGTAGTTTACGTTTATAGTCATAGGACATAAGTGAAGACCGATTACTTGTAAAAAACAAGCTGTAAATTTATACTCCTGTTTTTTTATATGGCATTTGACTAGCACAAAATTTAAGACATATATAAATATATTATACTAACTGAAGTGGAAGAAAATATTATGGTGATCCTA